TTTTTCTGTAAAAAAAAGAAAAGAAAAAAGTTAGCAGCTCTAAATGTCATCGTTTAAGGTAATTTCGTGTAGTCTTGTCTATAAAATTAAATTCAATTTATAAAACGAATTAAATTCAATCTTTAAGAATTCTAATTCAATTTATTTACAATTTTAACATATATTTTTATTTTTTAATTTGATTTTAATCTCTCTAAACTTTATTTTTTATTTGAATTCTTACAGTGTTTATTTTTCATTCTCTCCATATTATAATAAAAAAAAAACTAGTACATAATAATATGTAATAAAACATGTTAAAAAAATCAATACAAAAATGATTAAAATATAAAAATAAAAACATATTGAAGTTGTATTTACACATTCTAGTATTGAGGTTGCGTAGATACAGTATTTGTAGATGGATATACCGTATACCGTAGGATACGAAAGTGTGAGTAAATAAATGAGAGACGTACAGTGGTACGTGTGACGTAGTGGTAGTTGGGAGACAGGGAGCCTGCCACATCACGATGGGACACGTGTCCTATGGATTAGGGTCCATAGCTTTTTTCGCACGTTCAGTAATGGGCCCCGCCACATCTCTGTTTCCCTTTTTGTGACACCTTTCATTGAACTGCGTGTGATGGAGGAGCATGTTATCTCTACTTCAAGATTCTTGCACCATCCCATACTACTTCTTGAAACCATTCAAATTTTCAATTTTATTATTTTAAATCAATAAATAAATAAAATACAAATTAAAAAACAATCTTTGATGTTCAAAAATGACTATGTACTCAATAAGTATAAAATTTCAAGTAAAAGATAAGAAAAAATATATAATACTATAATGTGCTGAGAAAGAAAATAAGATAAGAAAGTAAAAATATCAGGAAAAGTGTGTATAATTATGATTTTTCTTGTAATTTAAATCAATCTTGTTGGCTTGTTGCTTGCCCCTAAAAAGCACAAATATTAAGAAAGATACTGTGACAAAAATAAATCTTGCAATTTTATAAAAAGATATTAATAAATGATCAAACTTTATTCTCACATGTTAGAGTTTCCTATTGCTCATGAATATTTTTATATATTGGTTAAGGAGTTAGATTAATAAATATTTTGTTATACTAAAATCTTAAAATTTATTTATTTTATCAAATTGTTTGAGACTGGTAATAAAATAATTAAATGTCTATATTTTAATCAGGAAAACTCTAACCATTTTTTTTCTTTTTGGGTCAAGAACTCAAATCATTTAAATGTAATTCACCTAAGCCCAAATTATTTAATGGAGGGTATCATTTGAGGCCCAAAAATACAAAATAGTAACAATGTACAAGATTTCAACATATCTTGCAAATTTTTGACAAAAACAAAAAACGTATCTTGCAATTTGTGTAATTTATTGAAGCACAACGGTATCACAAAATACAAATTCTAACAAATTAGGGTTCAAATTTTTGTTGGAAAAGGCTTTCATTTAATGCATGAGATTATATTTCAAAAAAATATTAAATCCTATACAGGTGGAAAAAGAAAAGGAAATTAATCTTAACCATAATTATATTTGGAAGAAATTGGCATATACAAAGTAAAAATTAACTACTAAGCACTTACACAATGCAAAATAACAGTGAGTTAGGGAGTACTAGTAAATTTACAGTACTGAAGACAATGGGGGATCTAATTTCACCTATTTATTAAGTTATTAACAAGTATTTTGAATTTTCTATATTTTAATTAAAAATAAAATATAAATATTTAAATTATAAGATAATTATGTATAAAAAAATAACAATATAAGTATTTGTTAAGGAAGAAGAGTATAATTAGCCTAATGATAAGCTAGTTTTTTAGAAAAAAAAAAACTCTCATGCATGTCACGTGCATCATAGTTAATCATTTTAAAACTCTCAAGTGGGAATGTTATATATGGTATTTACCCACTAAATATTCCTCAATTTGTATTTTTATTGGATTCATAGAACTCAGCTAAATGAAAGTAATTAATCTAGTGAATTAATTTTGAAGAAATGAAAAGTATGTTGTTTCATGTCCGAGAAAGCAAATGCAATAAAAGGGGCCTACTTTGCTCCCTTTTGCGTTTAGGGTTTTGTTTTTGGGACAACCTTAAAGATCTTTCAGACCGAAACATGGAACTTCGTGGTTTCAGTGTTCTTTAGATCCACACAATCCATCTTTATAATAAAAAAAACGTGTTAATGCTTGTACCATCAACTTCTAAACTTAAGAAATATTTTTGCTTTTGAATTTTATAACTTGTGTGTTTATAGATATCTATGACTCCTGCTTAGTTTATTCATGTTTGAAATGATCGCTGCTTTATTGAAGTTAAAGAATAGCAATTTATGTTAAGGTAGAAATTAAGAAGGAAAAAAACATTATCCAGCATTGAAAATTATTAAGTAAAGATTTGAATTAGTTGTTGTATATTGTAGGCTAATCTTTTGACTAGTCTATTGCAACATTTTCAAATGATACACGTGCGATCAATTTAAACATACTTGACTGAATACAGTTGTATTTGAATTCATAATTTTAGTCTTCGGTGCAAACTTGTTTATGAAATAATTTTCTTAATAAACAAATAACATTGATTAGATTAAGATTGTTGTATAAATAACTATGGAGATGTTTTAAAGGTATATTTACTTGCCATAATTGAAAATTCATTTTGGATAAAAAACCATTTTTTTTCAGTCTATGCTTGACAAAAAATATATATTAAAAGGTAAAATTCACTTCGATAATCTTTATACTTCGAAGACATTAATATTAACCGTTAACTGAATATTACCCTCAATTCAAATAAAAAAAAAAATACACTACTTAACTTTTTTGGGGAGAGAGTATCTTCATTATTAATGCCAATTTCTGAGTTTTATCCTTATTGTGATATACCAATCAAATTTGATAAACAGATAAATGTTAGTATTTTTATGACATATTTTATTTTTATTATTTTAATTTAACATTTTTAATTCATAAAAAATGATATATCTTTGGAAAAATATTAATTATTTTTTATTTCTTTAAATTTTTCATCTCTTCAGGAAATTATAAGTTGAAATAGTAAGAAAGTTTACTATTTCTCTTCTTTTAAATAACTATTATGAATTTTGTTCTATTATCCTACTTATCTTCAGAATAATTATCTTACTATTTGATAACAATAAGTATTAAATGAAAATTTTATGCATTAATTATCTTCAAAACATAAAACATATTACTCCATTCATCTTAATTATATTATATGTCATTTAATAATATTAATTCAAATTTTTAAAAATATTATTTTTACTAAAATATTTTTATTAATTGTTAAATTTGTTGCAGTAATTAATTTGTAAGAATTAATCTTAGAGTTATCATAATATTTTGTTGGCACAAATTATCCTTAATAACGATATCATTGAAAAAATTAATTAATATTTTTTAATATTTTAAAGTGACAAATAATTTGAAACATAAAAAAATATTTAAGCGACATTTAATATGAAATAGAAGGAACAAATATTTTTTATTTGATAATTAGGTAGAAATAAAGAGTAGAAGAATTTATAATTATTTATTTATTAAATTATTATTTGAAATTTTATAAATAAAAAATTATGAGGATCTTATCTTTAATTTAATAAATAATTTATTTGATGTGTACCTAATATGTAAAAAAAAATTAAATATACCTTATTAAATACTTTAATTACCTTAAAAAATTATACATGAAATATTTTTTTGATTTTAAAATAATAAATACTTTTAATAAAAAAATTATAAATAATAAATTTTCTTATTAGTATATGTCCTTAAACACACAATAAAAAAAAAAAAAAACTATTTATTAATTGTCCCGCGAGCTAACCACTTGAGCTCTATGATAGGGACTTGTATTTAGATGTTAAAATTTATTAATTGACATATAAATGTAAGTTTATTAATTTATTTAGAAATAAGTTTATCAATTTAACTAAAAAATTTACTATAAATATATAGATTTCTAAATAAATTTTTAAGTTAGACAAACTTGAAAAAAATAAAATAAAATATTAAATAAGTAGTTTGATTTAGGGTTTAAATTTTAAAAATAGATTAAATTAAAATTTTATAAAATATAATCTAACTAAACTTCTTTTTATCTTTATTCAATTAAATTGGTTATTTTGAAAGTGTCTGGTACATTTCAATAATGTATTAATTTTGTCATGTTTAACGAAGCAAGTAAAGCATCACTCAGTGTTTTTATATGCTTGCTTGTTTATTCAATGAAAGAATTCAATTCGTTTGAAGAACTCTTTTAGATTGAGTAAATAAAAATATGATTGTATTTAAATTTTAGTAAATAGGATTATGACATAACTTAAATTTAATTAATGGTACTTTAAAATGAGTTTAATTTAAAAGAACTTTCTCCTATTAAACCAGTTTACTATGAATGATTTTATACTAAGAAACAGTGTGTTTTATATGATTAAGAACTTTGTCCTGTTAAACAAGTTTACTGTATGCATGCCTTGTGTAACGTTCCACTATTTTGATTCTGAAATGCTAACCTCTTTTAAATTTTTTTGAAGAATATATGTTTGAGAATATATACATGTGTGTTTAAATTGGATATGCATGTTTGAATGTCTAAGAACTTTTATTAATGAGAATTTAAGAATTTGAAGTGTAAACAATTCAAAAGGATTTAAATTAATTTGCTTTATTTTTAAAGCAAAGAGATTTAATTAGCTAAAAATTAAAGAAACTAATTTTGCATAATTTAAATTTAAGGGAACAAAAATTCAATTCAACATAATAATATGCATATTCTATTAGCAAAGGTTCTTAAATATTCAAACATAAATAAATAAATAAAGCAATTCATGCGATTTATACACTTCTCTCTCTCTGTATTTATATATGGAGTCAAATTCCAGCAATTATTTTCTCAAAACCCAGTATGCATATATACATCTTATTTTTTGACCCTTGAAGCAACATTCTCATTCCCTCTAGTTTGCCTCATCACCAAACAAGGCTTCAATGAGTTCCATATCCCAATCCTGCGTTATCATTGAAGGGAAAATTTGATATTAGAACGACCATTCTCAAATTCATTTGGATAACATGAACATTTTTTTTAGTAATTTGACTCGCCTGATCAATAGCTGAGTGAGTTGCTGAGGAAACATCATCTACTAGGAACTCGTCAAACGGTTCCATGTCCCCAAATCCGTCATATCCTTCCAGCTAGATATCATAGAAAAGTTGGATTAATGGGGTGAAAACAAACTTAAAATAATCGTTTCTATTTTAAAAAGTATATTGGTTCATTAAGTTATATTCACCAACAGGAAAATATAGGCAAATCATGTGTATTAAAAATATATAAGAATTATTGTGTAAATTGTTAAAAGAAAAACGTTAAATCTTTCTCAAACTAGAAAGTTTGGTAACCGTTGAGGCTTACCTGGTTAGAATTTTTGTCAGAGCATGTCGTGGACTTGTTTGGTAGATTTAATGAGCCTTCATTTGGGTTATCAATCACATCACCAGCTCCGATAGACTGTTGCAATTTTAGGATTTTGAGTCAAATATTTACGATTAGAGAGACATATTAAACATGGGTAAAAAAGGAATTTGGATAAGAATGACAAAAACAATTAATTATAAGAGGAATCAAAATTAGTACAGTAAAATCCACCATTTTACTTCTATAGTATGATGACATTGTTATGTTGAAAATTAATATGCGAAGATACCAAAAGTAGTAAGAAAAAAAAAACGAGGAGATCGGTTGTGTGATATGTCATATATACTTTTCATAACCCAGCAAATTCATACGTACACAGGCCAAGCCATGCAAAAGAAATGCCTAAAATGATAAATGTACCTGCTCAAGGGATTGCACATCGTGACGAGGGCCAGAAAGGATAGACTCTAAAACTTCGCTTGCATCTGGGTTCTCATCAGTCTGATTAATTAAAATAACAAGTCATGAAGAATACCAAGTAAATATAACATTATAATATTGTTATAATTATATTGTTTTAAAAATATATTAAAAGTATAGCTTGGTAACATACAAGTTGGTGTATATATCAGCATATATGATTATTAATGTACATTTACTTATTTTCTTTTTTAAAAAAATCAGTATATTAGCAAGTGATGATTATAATTTTGTAAAAATTCATTAAATATACATAGTTTGTTAAATTTGCTTCTAATCATATGTAGACGTAGGTTTTTTCTTAACCCTGCTTACCTCATTAAGAAGATTCATTTCATCTAACACCGTGAAAATGTCAGCAAGGTCATCTTCCAGGTGGGTAAACTTACTCTCCCATATTGAAGTGGCATTATTATACAGATTCTCATTTTCTTCAACATTGTCATCTAGTTGATGAGGAAACTGTGGGAACCCTGAACTATTTTCTGCTTTAGTTCCATTAGTTATCATTGTTTGTGGAAACTCATTTGACCACCCATCCTCAGCTTTCGAAGCAGAAGCAATACCAAACCCTCCTTGAGATAAACCAAAATTTCCATGCCCCAATGGTGCGACATTCATTTTTGCATTTTGACTAGTCCCATTGATCAAGCTAAAGTTGTTGTTATTTGCAATAGAATCCATTGCACCAACAGTACTTTTAAACCCACCTTTTATCCCATTTCCAACCATTTTTGATCCACCATTCAGTTGGATATTAGTGTTGGGATTATAAATAGACGTAGTGCTCCAAGGCTGATTGTTAGAACTGTTCAAAGATGCGGTTTTCCCATTTCCTGGACCATAGCTAAAGTTTTGGTGATTTCCCATTGAATTAACATAGTTTTGGTACATTGGCTCACCATATTTCAATCCTCCTATTAGGCCATTTGTTGAAGTCATCAAGCCACGTCCATTTATTCCACATGTTGGAAATCCAGCACCAGCATTGCATGAGATTTTTGCTTGATAGGGCATTGGGTTTGCATAGCTTCCCAAAATTTTTTGGTGGGTACTATTGGCTCCAACATTACTTCCATACCTTGATTGTGATACATTCCAAGAATCAACGTGCTGGTTTTGAAGCATCAAATTCAAGCCTTTGTGGAATGCATTAGGAAATTGATGATGACTTCTTCCATGTGGAGTAACATAAGCATTTCTTGAAACATGGTTGAAAGGTTTAACGGCATTGGCCTTCCCTCCATTTTCTGGTTGATGTGCTAATCTTTTCAGATATGGCTGCGCGGGAACACGTAATTTCGCAGTTCTTGTTTGGATGTCTCTGATCAGTGACGCTGAAAGGCCAGATGCAAACCTTGACCTTAGAGTTCTGTCAGATAAGCCCTCAACTAACCCTTTCTCTGCTACTTTTCTCAGGAACATTCGATACTTCTGCAGACATTATCGGCATAAGTAAGCGTTAATAAATTTCTAAGTACATGTATACAAAGATAAATCAAATAAAAAAATTATAAGTTACAATTAATTTATGGATATTAATTTTTATAGAAGTTCTTTCATTTTTTTTAAATTAATGTTTAATTTATGAAAAAGGTTTGATTTATTTTATTGATGTACATAATCTTTCTTATTTTTTTTCTTATACGTTAAGTATATATATCAAACCATTTTCTTCAGATAATAAATCTAACATTTCTTACTTTTTTATTGATAAGTTTTCTCACAAAGTTTAAGATTTCGAAAAGGAAATATATGAAACTCTTGGCACATTGAATTCCCTAAACTTCAAAGCCATGTAAAAAATGGTAAAGGATTTCCTAGTGAAATCTCCAGGACAAATGATATAAAGAAATCACTATGTGGTAGTATTTCATTACATTTGCTAATATCTTGTTATAATTCGTTCTCTGTGTTGTCAAACAACCTTCAAAGACTGATTATATTACGAAGAGCATGGTGAACTACAAAGTAATTAAACCATAATTTTTTTTCCTAGAAGTTGCAGTGGTTTCACATGAATAAATTCATAAACAGTAGCTAGTAGTTAATCAGTAGCATATTTCATAGCATATATCTTTCAATGATTTCTGCATAATTATTTAGAAGGGGAACAAGCAAATAGAACCTTACGAAGATTGAACCATGTTGTAGACGTAAAATATAAGTTAATTAATAGCAAACCTGCAAGTGACTAGCAACATTTTCTCTAGTTAAGTTCGGCGCATTCATGATTTCCAGAATTTTCTTTGGCACAGCTCCTGAAAAATGATAAGATAAGCACAGTCAATTACGGTTAGCTATGTATACATATACACATGCATATACACTTAAAGTAATGATTTTTTCATACTCTACCTCCTATACCTTCTTTACATTTCTTTTTATATTTATTAAAAATGAGTTTAGATAAACAACTTAATTAAATATTTATTTAATAAATCCCTTTACCGTGAACGTTAACGGTACAAATTTAAAAATTTATTATAATAAATTAAAAATGTTATTTAATTATGCTTAAAAAATATTAAAATAAGATAAAATGCACTTATAAAAGTTATAAGTTATTTTCATAGATTTTTTTAAACACACCTATAAATGTCTCATCATCATTTTACATTTCAACCTATTTATTTAAATGTAAGTTAGGATTCAGATCTCTCCATTTTACACGAAAATTAAATATTTAATTCTTTTTTATTTAAGTAATTTTGTACTCATTTGAGTAAATCTTGTAATTATCATTTAAGTAAGAGATAATTTAGCTTAAGTGAATGATGAATAATTTAAGCAAATTTATAAGCAAGTGAACATCGGATTAAAGAAAATTTGCTTAAGCAAAATTTAAATTGCTTAAGCTAATCTATCACTTATGTGAATATTAACAACCTATAAAAAATTGAACAAAGACTATAATTTAGACATATTGCTTTTGCCTTAAAGAGAAAATTGATCCATTAAACGAAATAATACTCACTTAAGCAAATTTTAATTTTGTTAAGCAAATATTAGGCAAAAAGCAAACTCTCAGACATTTTAACTCACTTAAACGAGACTAAAATAGCTTAAGCAAAATATAATTTATTTAAGTGAGACTTAATTAATTTAAGTGGATTATGGATAGAGAGACATTTTTTTCTTAAGCAAAACCTAATTAACTTAAACAAAACATTGCTCTTTATCTATAATTTGTTTAACAAAATTAAAATTCACTTAAGGGAATATTGTTTCCCTTAAGCAGACCAATTCAGACTTAAGCCAAAAGCAATATGTCCAAATTGTGGTATCTATTCAATTTTTGCTTTAGGTTATTAGTACTTATAAGTGATAGATTCATATAAGCAATTTAATAATTGCTTGAACAAATTTTGCTTAATTTAAAGTTTACTCACTTATAAAATTGCTTAACTAGTCATCACTTACTTTAGTTAAAGTATCTTTCGCTTAAGTGATAATTACAAAATTTGTTTAAGTAAGTCTAAAATTGCATAAACTGAACAAAATTTGAATCTTCTTTAAAAGGGTGTGAAAAATCATCATCCAAAGAATACCAAAAATTTTGCAGAAACAGATTACTTACTGTCCATTCCAATTTGTTTTATAGCAAGAAGAAAGAGATTGTGAAGATCAGTTGTCCAAACAACTTTTTGTTTCTTTGCAAGCTGAGAGCTTTCTTCACTTTGGTCTTCCTTACTCATTTGCTTATTCTTTCTCTGGCCATACTTCCTTTTTCTCTTAGGCTTAGCCAATGATGATGTTTCAGAAGAGTTAACATCCTGAACAATAACCTTATCACCTGTTGACTCTCCTTCAATGTTTTCAGTAGTTACTGTCCCTTTCCTTGCAGCCATAGCAAACTGCCAAATGTCTTTGAAGTCATCTCTGCAAAAAGGTTTCAAAATAAAGTGTGCTGCACCATTTTCTAAACTCTTCGACATCACACTCTTTCTGCTATCTGCAGACATCACTGCATGAAACAAAAGAGAGAAGTGTCAACTGCAATGTCATATATGGCTTAAGCTGTTGAAACAATTTACAACACTAGTATGCACTAACAGTTCCTTTATTTAAACAACTTCAAAATTGAAATCGAAAGTCACATTGTATATAATTATTTAAATTTTTTACTATACTTTTAAATTTTTTTTATTTATACATATCAGAAATATACTTCTAAAACCAATAAAACTAAAGTATATTCCTCAAAATGTTCAAACATCGTTTCCTTGCACAAATATCTCTGTCACGTTCCCTCCTGTGAACTCTGTACTTAATTCCCAGATAGAAATCACTTGTCTCAAATTTTTTTTTTCTACTCTCTGTCTCTAATAGAAAAGTAACACTTGGTTGAAAATAACATCTTTTATTATGTTTTTATTTTTTTAAAGTTTAATTGTTTATTAAAAATTGCAGAAAGCGATGTCAGAGTTGTCACAGCGAACTTCTCAGCCTGCGTTGGGCCAACCTTCGTCAGATTTTTAACTTCTCTGAACTAAGTAAAAAAAAATTATTTCTTATTCGAGCTTTAAAATAAAACAATGTCTTAGTCGGTTAGATGTATTTAATTGCATTTTAATATTTTAAAGTTTTCTTTCAACATTGTTCACAAACGTATATGAGGAAAGGAAAAAGAGAAATTTACCTTAAAATAAAACTGAGTACCTCAGTAAAGATTAAAATTAAAAGAAAATAAATTTCAAAAATACAAGAGTGAATTACTCCCTTGTCATTTCATGCTTTTTTTTATTTACTTTCTTATTTATATTTTTAGTAAATTCCTTTATAGAGATAAAATAATACAAAATTACTACTAAAAAGTTAAGTAACACAAAAAAAATATAAAAGGTTTATTAACATAAAAAATTATAAAAATAAATTGAAAAAAGGTGAAACTTAAAAAAGATCCAATTTACCTAAAATAGAGTATGCAAGTGCATAAACGAGATAGCAAAACAAAATCTATCTATAACATATAAAATATTAAGCCCGAAAAATGGCGTTGACATCTAAATCATGACTTTCATTATTCTTTTATCTCATATTAGCATTATAGTTACAGTTGCATGTTATGATTTATTTTTTTACTCTTAACTATTACATTAATTTTTCTATGGTTTTTATTTTATCAAATCAATAATAATCGTACCTTAAATGAAGAACATTTACTACCCAAAAGTTATGATTCATTTTATCATGATCATGCTACATATTAAATCCATTTAAGCCCCACAATATTAGTTTAAATTAATGAACACCATAAACTTTAAAACAAATATAACAATTCATTTATATCATATAAAATTTAATGCATGTATAAAAAAATATATATATAATTTAATTCATAAAACTTGGCATTTACATCTAACCTATATAATTTCCATTATTCCTTTATGCCACATTAGTATTTAGTTAGAGAAGAGGCATTCATTACTCAAAATAATGTTCTATCAGCATTAATTTTAGTTCCTGTAAAAGGATTATTCATTACTCAGAATAAATTGCATCAACATAACTATGTTATACACTAAATACATTTATGCATAATATTACTTTAGATAAGTCCTATATACTTTAAACTCAATAAAAATTACAAAAAAATAATATAAAAAAAATTAAGGTGTCCGTAAAACTCAAGGTTCTAAAACTAATTTTACTCTAATTCTAACATAAATTCATGTGCCAAATTTTTGTAAATTACTTTTAAGTATGTTCTTTATGTGCTCGTGTAGGAGAGAATCCATTCTTTTAACCTAAAATGGTCCCTTACTTCATTGTACCCTCCTAATTATAAAACTCTTGGTTTTAATTTGCTCAAATTGCTAAGCTTGGTTATGCGGGAGAGATTACAGTGATATGTTATTCATATTTATTGGTATATATATATACACACACACGGGGGTAAACATAAATAAAAAGGAAAAAGAAATAAAAATCCAATATATATGCTATATAGAAGAAATATGAAGGATAGTTAAATATCCAAGAGTGATACTCACTTATTACTGGTATCTGGAATTCATTTATAACTAGCTTTTGAAATTCAAATCCATTCATTCCTGATATATGAAGTTCTGTAATGACAAGATCGACAAAGCCTTCAAACTCTCGAAGAGTCTCCAAAGCATTATGGGTACCGTTGGCAATGAGAACTGAATTTCATAACCAAAGAGAATCAATAAGCTCACTGATCAAGCATGTGTAAATTTTAATTTGCTAAAAGATAAGAAATGCATTTTGCCCTAATAAGGTACTAATCCACTTTTGGATCTAAATACACTTTAAACACTTGGAGTCTATTTGTCTTAATGTTAGCAATAGAGAAACGTAATTATTGAAACATTTTTTCAAAAGTAAAAACTTATTGTTGTGATACACATTTCGTCTCAAAGCCGGCTTTAAACCAATCAAGCTTTTAATTTATTCATGGTGCCTTCAATTAATGAAATCGACTTCATTAAAGGTGAGAAATGAAATGCCAGTGATGAGTGATTACAGAGCTTCTTGAGCTACACAAATGATATATATGCGCTTAATGCAAGGGTAACTTTTTTTAGTCAGAAATTTGTACATGCCAAGACATTTAGGCATTTCATTTAGCATTTAATTTTCTTGCATATTATAATTAGAGGACAAAAAATATTTGATGCTCCTCACTGAGAATGGATCAATTACGGAGAGGTAACTTTTTTTTTCTTTTAATTATGTGGTTGATGTAGATAAGCGATAAGAAAAAGTTTACATGCAATATTTACAGCATGCACTTCAGCTTTTATAGATATGTAGTAGATATAAACAAGGTAGAGAATAAAATAATTTGAAGAATGGTACATTTTGATATTTTTTGTATGTATTATTTGCTTCAAGACCTGATTTTTTTATAAAAAGAAATTTAGAACATTTTTATAAATATTAAATATATTAATGAAAAAAAATCAATTTTATTGATATAGTCTTTATTTAATAAAAATTAAATTTTAATATAAATACGATGTATGTATCATTTTTTTTATTTTAGCAAAAACATCTATTAAGACCTTTTATATCGATAGTATATACTTAGAAAAATTAGATTTGGACTACAGAAGTAAAGCAGCCAGAAACATACATGAAGACCTTATGGTTAGAAAAATTGGATGACAATCTGAGGGAGCAGAAGCAGGAAGTGAAAATAAAATCTTAGTTCAAAAGATAAGATTTAAAAAAGTCCTTCCAATTATGGGTTGTAATATATATTTTTTTAAGTGTGCTTTAATTTGAATCTCTTTCAATTAGACTTATCAGCCATTAGTTGGCTCAAACAAAAGCCTACAGGGTCAATTATTTTTATACAATTTGGCATCCTGGTTTACTTTAGCACAAAACAAATGGAGAAAATAAGATTATGAGAGAAAATCCTTAGTGTGTCTTGGTTGGTTAAAAGTGGGCTGATAATGTTACTGTATTTTCAACACCACCAATCCTTTCTTTGCACAAACTCTTTGCACCTATTTTCTTATGACTAGTTGTTAATTTTATGTTTTGAAATTATTAAAAATTAAAAGTAGTTTTGAGTTTCAAGTTTTGGTAGTTTTTAATTTTTAAATTTAAATACATAAATCATTTATTTCTTTTAAATTTAAACTTGATTATAAGTGGAATAATGATAAAAATAAAAACAAGAAAATAGAAAATGGTAGAGAGTGTGATAACAATAATAAAACATGATATTAATAAGTATGTTGATAACAACAACTAGTCACTAGTTTGTAAGAATGATTTAAAAATGATAATAGTGATAATGACCACAAAGACAATAACAATGATAATAATGACTATAATAATAATTGCAGTCATAAATACTATGATAGTGACAATAATAATAATTACAGTTGTAAATAATAATAATAATAATAATAATAATAATAATAATAATAATAATAATAATAACTGTAGCAGTAAAAATTGTCATTGTAATGACTATAACAATTATGAATAAGGTGGAAGTGGAGTCAATTAATGGCTAATGAGTAATAGTGGCAGTAGTAAATAATAGTCTAATAATAACAAAAATAATTTTAATATTAACAATAATAATAATAATGTAAGTAATATTTATGATGATAATTATTACGTGTATTTTAAAATAAATGAGAATTAAATGAATTATTTTTCAACTAAAATTCCAAATAACTTTTTTCCTTTGGGTTAAAATGAAGTAAAATTATTTTAAAATTAGGTTAAAACCAATTAAGACTCATTTATAGACGAACATGTCTTGTTTCAAAGTTTGTATTCAAAACTATAAACTCAAATAGACCCTTAGTTCTAATATTACAAGGGTTGTGTTCAAATTGTTTACCAAGCCTGAAATTCATCTTTTGGCATGTTTGTTAGCTTAGAAAAAAGGGGGTTATATATATGACAATGCAGCACAATACTAGTGTAGTGCAATGTGGTTTAAAACTCACCAAAACAACTATATATTTGCACGTAATAAACCATGAAAATTGAATATCTCGAGATTTTCTACACATACACGAAGTGGCAATATGCATCAGATTACAATTTTTTCTTTAGTGTGCACCTACGGTTTTCCTAAGTCGAATGTCAAAGATTATTCCCTTTAAAAGCGCAAAGGTCATAGAAATGAGTATAGCATCCCTCAATAAAGCTTTTCTTTATACACACAACTAGGAATTGAACCCTGTTTACATTCTTAAAGGACCCAGTTATCTACCATTTCGATCTTTGTTGGTTTAATTTGCAAGTTTTGGTTAATTCAAGAAGTTGTGTCAGAGAGTTTCAAGACATAGGATAATCAATTTCAGCATAGACAAAAGAAAAAAAAATCAATTTTAGCCCAATTTGTGTGTGTGTGTGTATATATATATATACGAAAGAGAGTTCGAATATATAAAATCTCAATGGAAACAAATTAAAATACTGCAGGCGTACAATGGTTGAATAAATGGACACATACCTTTGTATTCCAATGAGTTGAGTATATTAGCAACAATGGCCAGAGAAACATCATCGTCATCCACAACCAAAATACTGACATCGACTCTCTCACAAGCCATTTTTTGTTTTGTGCTTTTTTCTTAATTTGCTTTTATATTTGGCTAAAGCTCTCAAGAAAACTACTATATGAAAAGTAAAGTCAGGAATTTTAAGAATTTATAATGAGGGGTTTTTTCCTTTAGTAAATGGTGGTTGCCAATGGCTTACACATGCTACTTCAGTTCTGTAAGAAGAGAAGAAAAGTATAGAGATTGGCCATATCTTTTATTAGAATTTATCCCTTATTTTGTTTTATTTGCACTTATTAATTTTTTTATTTCTCAATTCAGATCAATTACACTTTAATTTCAACTAATTAATGGAAAATATCTTCAATGAAAATTTTACATTTATTATATTTTTCCTTGTAAAGAGTGGTTTTACATCGAGTTCCTTGTTTAGAAGATTTGACAATATTTCGTTCATTGTCTTTTTATAAGCTAACCATTTTTTAACCAAGAATTTAAAATGATACAGAAACTTATTTTAGTAAAAGATTTTCAATATTTGAGAAGTCATTTTGAATTTCGACTAATTAGAGTTAAATCTACTAAATCTATTAAGACTATAGTTTAATAAAGAACGAAATTGTAAGGAATTTCTTTTAGAATACTTGAATTAACTAGTTTGTTAAATGGTTTGAGTAAGATGTAATTTTCTATGGAATTGGAGAAGGGAAAAAGGGGAATAAATTTTTATTTTAAATAAATATATTTAAAATTAATATTTTTAAAATAAAGTATATAAATCGATATATTAAGATAAATTTAATGTATTAATCTTATATTTTTTTACCATAAATAATATATAATTTTCTTAATTTGAAATTAAAAAAAAATATCCTCTCATTTCTTTCTATCCAAAAACTCATTGTTTGGGTTTAAAAGAATTGGTCTTATGAAGATATTGTACGAAAATAAAATTAAGAAAAAAAAAGAGTACATGCTTTCAAATTTTATTTTAGACATATTGGAGGTTGTGAAATTCTATTTGGCCAATCACTTTAATGTCTGTTTATATTCACTCATTAGTATTTAAATTGAAAAGTTCATAGCATTTACTTAAATTAAAGTTTAAGAACCGGACGGTACAGAACATATGGATTTAATTATATTTTTTATGCATTTTAAAAATTGAACACATCAAAATATAGAACTTAAAAATGGTAAATTTTAGTTTTACTAAAACAAGTGAAACTGAAGAATTCAGAATAGGACAGAAGGTTCCTGTTTACCTTTGCTTTTTTGTAAGTTTAACTATATTTTAGGTCTTTATATTTGTATTTTACTTCTTAAAAATAATTAATTTTAGTATTTAATTTTTAAAATTTAATGCTTTTATATTTAATAATGATATTATTTAATAAAAAACAAATACATGACAATCTTTTAATTACTCACGTGATTATAAAAAAATCAAAAGTATTAAATTTAAATAAATTAGGAATTATAATAAAATAAGGACTAAATCAACATTTTACAAAATATATTTAAACTTTGAAAGTATTAAATGAAAAGTATTTAATATGAGTTTATTAAATTTTTTAATTACTTAAAAACATTAAATATTTTTGTATTATTAATGTAATAAATATTTTTTTCTTTTTATATAAAAATTTCTAATTTTTGTTTACTTATTCGGTGCCTCAAAGCACACATCAGTAAATATGTAGAATATTTATCATGAAAGCCAACTAAATATGAATATAAAGCACCTCAAAATTAAATTACAATTTATATACATTTCCAAATGTGGACTCGAAAACCACCATGGAAAAAAGAGAAAAGAAAAGGTTATTTCAGCCAGCAGTTTGTGAAAAACCAGGCTGATTTATCAAAAGAATGTTTATTTTCATCTCATTTTAATTTAAAATATTTAATTAATTATATCAATAATTTATTATCACACTATTAAAAGAGTTTGACCAAGACAAAAATTATCTAAATGAAAGTGGTTAATTAAACTTTAGTTCAAATAAGGTATCTTTCAAGAAAAAGATTATTGATAATCTAGCAATTTTGACAAACTTATTAATTAAATATCCAAGAGAGGCAGGGAAATTTCTATTTACGTTTCAATTTCTAGAAACAAGTGATATATATCCTAACAGAAGAATATTAATCATATATATTCTAGAATTTAATTTTAGTGTAATAGAATAATTTATACATTATCAGTCCATGAAAGAAAAAAGATTTATCAGTATTTTTACTCAACTTGAAAATACATGTATTCTTGACAATAAATAAATAATTATTTATTTATTTTTTTAAAACTTAATTTTCAAACTTATTTATAGTGAATTAATTTTCAGTTTGATACGTAACACTATAATATATATATATATATATATATATATATATTATTAAATAAAATTTTAATATTTTTTTTAAATATCAACATTTTCTTAAAGATAAAATTAAAATATAAGTAGTCTATCCTATTATATTTTTAAAAGAAATTAATAATATAAAAAAATTATTAATCAAATTCATACAGACTATTGAACTTGTCAAAAATTTTGCTGCAAACTACTTTTAAAAATAATATTTAATAGAATCAAATATTTTATTAATATTTAACATGTTATTAAAAAAATATTATTTTAAAATCAAATTATGCACATTATTATTACAAATCATAATAATAATATTATTATTATTATTATTATTTATATTTTTTTCTATGTTAAATTTTATGCATACTTAATAATATCTTACGTAAATTATAGTAATTAATTTAAACAAGACTAACCAATAATTTTTTTTATAATGATCTAAAAATCAAATAATCTTCTTTCCATTCATTACAACTGTGCCAATACAACTTTTTAAATGTTATACGATAAACCCTGTAATTCAAATGAAAAATATCTTATCTTTAAATTATTTTGTTAAAAATTAAATTAGTTGCTTTAATTTTTATTATTAAGCAAGTAGTCTTTGTTATTTTAGTTTTGGCAATTAACCGGCCGATTAACCCGCTTTAACTCCAATACCACATAAATCATATTTTTATTTTACAAGGAGAAGAAACGCAAATCATATTTAATACGTTAATTCTTTATTTTTTATGAATCACTTTTTCTAAAATTATTAAAACTTTTTCAAATATTAAATTCTAGAAGTAATTTCCAAATCATTTTTAAAAATATTTTTGTAAAACAATAAAAAATAATTTCCATTATGAAAAAAAATGAATACGAATAAAAAAAATTGGGGGTAGACATAAAATTCTCTTGATGTAAAGAGAGCAAGAGCATTTCCTACTTTAGGCTGGGCCCTTCTATTAGAAAATACTCAGTGGTCTAGTCCAACTAAGAACCTAGCCCAATTTTATATTTTACTTTATATATATATATATATATATATATATATATATATATATATATATATATGTCTGGGCTTGAAGAGATTTTTATTCTAAAAATATGACATTTTATATTGTAAACGTTTTCTTAATTTTTACGATAATAAAATATTAATACATTTTTTTTATGATGTAGAATTCTCATATGAATTATTTAATTATGAACCTATTGTAGAATATACTATCTTTCGTTGCATTTAAACTTGTTAGCTTTTACCTCCTAGTGCTTTTGTAATTAATGACTGGAGTTATGCTTGCATATTTAATAGTATATATGCTAAGTGAAATGAAATAAAATGAAGGTTTAATTATACATTTTTAATTTTTTTAATTGTTTATATTTAATTTTTTAACTTTTTATATGTTCAAATTACATATTTTAGTTCAAAATCTCATTCAATAATTAAAAATAATAATAATAGAAGTGTGACATGTTATTAATTTGTATAAATTAATAAAGGAAAATGTATAAAAATTAAAATAAATATGAAATAAAATGCACGAAATCTAATAAAAGCCCTTTTGTATTTTTATTTTTTTATAAACATGATTTTTTTAATCTATCCAAATCTATTATATATCACATCCTTATTATAAGTTTATTAACCATTGAACAAAATTTTAAGATAAAATTTTTAATTTAAACTATTAAAAAATTAAGAATACTAAATATGAGAAATTAAAATTAAATAAATTAAGATTACACGTAAACCAAAATAAGGGGACTAAATATATAATTAAACATAAAATAAAATAGAATAAAATTATTATTCTATTATTTGGTTATATTACAATAGAATGAAAAGTTATGTTAATTCCATCACATACCTACAAATTAGAATGAAATGAAAATTAGGGTTTTGGATGGAATAAAATAGAATCTATTCTATTTTAATTTAATAAATTCAAACAATATAATATTTTTAAATTGCATTCTATCCTACTTTATTTTAATTTTTCTAGTAATTCAAACATAGTCTAAAGAAAGTATTATGATGAGAAAGTATTGTCATCGAGGAGAAAATATTATTTAGAAAATGGAAACAATTTAACAGAAAGATTATGATAAGAAATGTGCCAAAAAGGGTGGTCCATGGTATTTCAATTATTACCTTGAAGATTAGAAGATTCATGTACAAGTGAGACACAATTAAAGAAATGAAAGATATGTCAAACTGTTTGTTAAACTCTATTTATTTTAGTTTTATTATATTAAAAAGGAATAAAATATGTTTAAAATAATAAAACAAATACATAAATTTTATAGTATTTATTATTTTAGAAAATAATAATTTTTAATGTCTTAAGAATAATTTAATAAAGTAATTAAATCTTAATTTTTTACTATAATTTAAAGATGATAAAGGATTTTAATTAAATTAAAATATACAAATTATATTTTAAAATATAAAATTACTATATTTTGATTTTTTTTTAGTCATGGTATCCTTATTTGAATTTAACTAGTTTATCAATTTCTAACTAGGTCATTCACTCGTTTTGCCACACATGCCCATAATGAGAAAGAGAACCAAGCTTTGATAGTACTTTCCTTAAAAAATTCTTTTAATTTTTTAAAGAATTTGTGCTTTAGGGTTTTATAATAATTCTTTATAGAATATATATATATATATATATATATGTATATATA